AACATAACGATCCACATTCCTGCTGTTGGGGTGAAAAACACCCCAACAACATAAATCCATGTTTATACCCCCTACTCCTGTTAGTAACCTCTGCTTCTCTAAATGAAGGTTGTTCAGACAGCTGTCAACAACCTTTCAACAGAAATCATTTTCAAAACTTCTAAACTATTAGGTGGTAAGGTTTCTATCGAGCAAACACCCCTACATCTCTGTTGCATTAGCATAATAATAGCAACAAGGATGAACTAATCTGCTCTGCTGAGCATTTGTTGGTGCTGTGAAATGTGTGAGAGTAAAACCAACCTCCGCATCCCCAATTAGCCTGCCCCTGTTTGTTACACTGGAAGAGTCTCAGACGAAAGTCATATTAATTTCTTTACAAGCCTTGCCTTAGCTCGTGTTATTTTATGTCACATCTAATTAGCACTCAGGGTCAGGCGTTTCTGGAGTGACTGCTCATCCATAACTTTGAGCCGAGCTGCTGTGGTCCACACTGCAACTCATTTTGGCATGCTTAATTGGAGCTGGAGCTGCAGTCTTACACCATAAACAGATTCTGTGATGTATGTCTCCAAAAATTGTCAGCTGGTATTAGCATTGTTTTTGTTCTTTAGTCACCCGTGGCAGATAAGGGAGCAAGCAAATTAAACGATGGAACATCTAACACAATAGATCAGATGCACCTGTAGTTATTAAATGAGTGTGCTTGTTTAGTCTGTACGTGCTCAGACAGACAGAGACAGCTCTCTCACTAAAACAGCTGGTTTTTTATCACCCGTGTGACATTTTGATGTCTAATTCTGCATGTTTGTAAGTAAACAATAAAAGAAATCAAGACTCGACAAACATCATTTCTTGACATGTTTTAGTTTTTTGGTCGATGAATTTGCTCTAAAAGAAATCAAGTTTTTTTCTTAAATATAGATTAATCTGATGTGCTGGTTGTATGTCTAGCTGAACTTTTTATTTCAAAAGATCCTTCAGAGGTTTTACTGACAGGAGAGTATTTCCAGGTATAGAAAATGCTTAACTTCAAGCTGTTTTTCTTTTATCTTATGACAGATGTAGCATTGGGTGCCAAGGTGCAATTTCCTCTCTATGACTAGATAAGTCAAAAGATAATACAATAAGTGAAAATTTGATCATTTTCAAAAGATTTTGTAACCCTGACTTGCACATTTTACATTGTTTTTGAAAAATAAAAGGTTTTCTGCACAAAACGATTGATCTAAATTAAAGAAACAGCAGCTACTTTCCACTCCTGTTTAGAAAGGTTTGGAAAACATTTAATGGTCATTTGAATTGTTATGCATCAAATATTATTTTTCTTTGTTTTAAACCAGATTTTTGTGAATGTTTCTGAAAAAGTAATAAAAATATAACATACTGATTTCATGACCGTTTAAAGGGAAAATAAACACATTCAATATAACAGCTACTTTTTGTATTGCCCATGAAACTATTTTAATGCACCAAAAATGGAATTGTAATGCAATAATAGACATGCGACTGATGGGATTTTAACCTTCCATTAGGACCACACTCCTGGGGTGTTTCACAGTGCCAATAAATATTGCCTTGATGTCTTGGTCCCGCCCCGGTTGCCTAGGAGATACGTCATCAGGAACTGCCAAGACGTGTATATGTATATATATATATATGTATATATATATATATATATATATATATATATATATATATATATATATATATATATATATATATATATATATATATATATATATATATATATATATATATATACACACACCTCACACATTTCACAGCACGTACAAAAGTAAACGGTCTGTATTTGTGGTGCTTTTTCAAGCCAAGTTTATGCTTAAAAGATTAAAGTTACAGTCTCATAGTTGTCACACACACTGGTGTGGTGTGGTGAAAAGTGTCCTCTGCATTTGACTCAACCTCATGGGAGTGGTGAGCTGCAGCTGTGGCTGCGCTCTAAAACTATTTGGTGTTTAAACCCCCAATCCAGCCCTTTAAAGCTGAGTGTCAAGCAGGGAGGTGTTGGGTGCAATTTTGATCAAATCTTTGGTATGACCCAAGAAGGATTTGAACTCCAATCTCTCAGTCCCAGGGCGAACACTCTACCACTAGGATACTAAGCTGGACAGCTACTCTGTCAGCTCCACAAGGGAGAGATGCATACGCATTGACCATATGTTTTTCTCTTGGACTTCGTCTCCTGGGGCGTGTTACCAAGCAATTCTCTGCCAAGTCAACAGAGGGCGTACCGCTGTTCTGAAGTATCCTGTCATGTATCCAGTCCAGAATAGTGCATTTACTATTGTGTTCATATATTTTTTTTGTATTTCAGAGACTTTTTAACACGGACAAATTTGTGTCTCATTTTCCTCCACCTCTTCATGCACTTGCCACCTCAAAATCTACGTTTACTGTCAGTCCCATACATGTATAAAATGCTTGCTGCCTATTTTTTTATTCCTCTAGTCACAGGTGAATAAAATGGTCAAAATGTTTTAGGGTTTTCTGGCAAAGTGTTCTTCAAGCTGCTCCATGTCTTCCGTTAGATAGCTTTGACTCTCTTTATGTTTTTGATGGTGCAATGGTGGTGCTGTTGATGAAAGCAGCGTCCTGACCAATCACAAGCTTGCATTCTCTGTTTTGTTGGACAAAAGTTTTTGTAAATCAAAACCATGTGAAATTAATTGTGGAGTGCCACAAGGGTCGGTCCTCGGACAAAAAACTGTTCATTTTGTTTATTAACGACTTGGTAAATGTATCTAAGACACTCGGTACCATTCTATTTGCAGATGATACAACACTGTTTTACTCTGGATCAAATATTGAGGAGGTGACTAAAGTGCAAAATGATGAACTGATTAAAATTAAAAACTGGTTTGATATAAATAGATTGTCACTGAATCTTAATAAAACCAATGTTATACTGTTTAATGATAAAAAGAACAGTGATGTGTCATCGGAAATAGATGGGATTGAAATTCAGAGTAAAAGAAACTAAATTTCTTGGAGTTCTTAGTGATGAAGATGTGTCATGGAAATCCCATATTAGTTACATAAAAGGTGAAATTGCCAAATCCTAGGAGTATTACATAGAGTCAAGTTTTTACTGACTAATTCTGGTTTGTTGGCATTGTACAGTTCACTTATTGTTCCATACTTGACTTATTGTGTAGAAATCTGGGGAGCAACATACAAAAACTATACACAACCCTTATTTATTTTACAGAAAAGAGCTCTGAGCATTATAGTGGCTGTAGAGATCCATCAAACCAATTGTTTACTAAATATAAATTACTGAAATTTCATCATTTAAAAGACTGGAAAATCATACAAACCATGTATAAAGCCAATTTAGGTACTCTGCCAGCAAACATTCAGGGGATATTTGAAAAGAGTAATTACATGCTGAAAGAAACTGATGTGTTTAGAAAACCTAGATTTAGAACTAAAATTAAGGAGTGGAATATTTAAATTAAGGAATAACCTTAAAAGGGAAATAAAAAAACTCTGTCATTTAATATATTCAAAAAATGTACCAAATTGAGTGTACTAAATAATTATGAAATAAATCATTGATAATGATCTCACTGGAATTTAGAACAGGAAAAAGTTTAAAATGACTCTGTATGTGTGTCTGACAAATGGTAATTAAATATAAATTGATTATTTCTACTGGAAAAGGGGGCAGAAATTATAAGATGTTTTTCTTTATTCTGCTCCTTTTCGTTCAAATTAGATTTTTTGTTATGTATTTCTTATTGTTTATATGTTTTATTTGTTTTTATTTTGAATTAAATAAACGAAGAAAAAAAAGTGGGCTCGACTCCGTCCATCTTTGCGACCCCTTGCACGGATGGATAATGGCATTGCATGTCGCCACACCGACGCAGAAGCATAAACTAGGCTTTAGGATTCTACAACCCCCCCAAGGTGCTTCACAAAACAATCAGTCATTCACCCTTTCACTCACACACGCTGTTGGGGATGAACTACAATGTAGCCACAGCTGCCCTGGGGTGCACTGACAGAGGCAAACCCTGCTGAACACTGGTGCCACTGGTACTTCCAATCACCACCAGCAGGCAAGGTAGTCAGAGCCAGGATCTAACCTGCAGTCTTCCAATCACTGGACATCCCTCTCTACTTCCATGCTCACATATACAGTATTCCTCTTGCATCAAATCCATTACCCCAAAAACGAAAACATGTCAAGAAATGTATATATATATATATATATATATATATATATATATATATATATATATATATATATATATATATATATATATATATATATATACACACATACATACAAGATTATTATGTAAGCCCATTCCCACCATGCAACAATTATTATTACAATTACTTTATATCAAAGTGACGGGAATGGGCTTCCATAATAATAGCATTGATCTAAAAATACCAATGTTTCAATTTATATGACAAAGGACTTCACAGTCACCATGCACGAATATGACACTTGGGTAAAGTCTTCATAGATTTAGAACCACATTGTGTCATAAGCTGTCAAAAAACTAGTTGTTCTTTTTTAGATTTCTCTATCATCTCTAGAGAAAGCAACACGATTAACCCTAGGCTAGACAAGATGACCTAATAATATTTTATACAGACAGCAAAAAAGTCGCTTCATTAATCTGGGTAAGTCTAAAAAGCTAAATCAGACAAATATCAATCGGTTCCTCTGCATATTCCTGCATACAGTATATGTTCTGGCCACACTGTGACGCTACAACTGAAAGCAGCACCCATCTTCGAAACTAACGTCCGTCGCTCTTGCTTTCCTATGTTGATTCAAATATCAATTTGCCCTGTGTTTCGTCTTTCAGGCAACAGGTTTTGAGCCATTACATACAATTTTTGATTTTATATAAGTGGAAACGTTTTAATAAATGCAATAGTACTCTAATTAATTAATTAACCATCGCATTTGTCTTTATTGTGGTTGCAGAGCTAGACGTACATTTGAAATGTCTGCTAGTGAGTGGTCTGCGTGAGCCTAGAAGACTAAGCTGAGGGTAAAATCGTCTCAAAGCTCTAGTTCCGGAAGATCATAACAGCTCTCACAAGAAAGAAAATGGAATCCTGAGGTAGCAGTTAGTTAATTCGATCCTTGTTGCTGAGAATTAAAAAAAAACTGTTTCACCCCGGCATATTACGTCGCCGAGCAGGTAAAGTATAAGTGGTTTGGTTACAGTAAACATATGTTGTCGTTAACTTTACTTTCTTACATAGTACATTTGATGTTCACTCTGTTTAGATGCGAACGCTGAACGTCACTGGTTGACGTCGAATGCTAAGTTAGCTTGCGGTTATGCTAATATTAGCTTAATGGATATTCGGCAGCACCATTTAACAACAGACTAAAAAGTATACTTCTGATATAAACAATCAAATATATTTACAAAAGAAGTAAAACGGCCACTAAGGTATTTATTTGTTTACTGGCCGTTAACAGTAGAGACCATTGCTAGCTACTCGGCTATTTTGGGGTATGTTAAATAGCATTTATTAGCCATTAGCTTTCAGCAAAAAAATCCAGATAATCAGATTCAATCACTTCTTGTTAGCTCTTCTTGACATTTACACACATTCGATCATCTTTTACGTAACCGAGGTTGCGGCATTATTGACCTCATTCAGGACTAATCAGGAATGTAAAAGAAAAAAAAACGACCGCTAGAAGACGTAAGCTAAACCGTACGATGCCATTTTGTTTTTAACTCGACTTTGACCAACATATTGATTCGCGACAAGACTTTTTATCCAACACATCCTCAAATGATAGTTTTTATTAACAGATGCTGATACGTGTTTATTGTACCTAGATGTCAGTTTGCGGTCAGAGATCAGGTGACTCAGCTTGTTTTTCAGTTTTTGTTGTAAGGCCACCTGAGCATGTCAGTGTTCTTGTAACCGTGAGCTGTGCTAACATTATCTTCATGTTCTGCACCGGTGCTGAGTGCTGTATGGTACGGCATGACGTTGTGACATATAGTCAAATAATGAACTCATAAATTTACTGTTTTATATATAAACTATAAAACTCTTCCTAGTCAAATTTAAAGATTTGTAAGACAAGACTTTAAAACCATAGTTCAGGATAAAGTGGGAAAAACATAAGAGCATTCCTTAATACTTAATAAATGTTTAGTTTAACAATAATTGGCTCATCTTGACATGCATGGCAGATATTTAGATTTCAAATGGTCTGAACCATGATTTTTACATAACCAGGAGTGATTTCTGCTCTGAAGATAGTTTAATATAATACTACATTACCATAGTTTCTCACACTTTGCTTAACTTTTCATTAATAATTATGTTGTATACATATTCTATAGATGCATAAAGATGCTATAGAAAACATTTTCATGTGCTTTTGCTTGAATTTTTTTCATATATAATCCAGAGCTGGTCGATTACTTTCTGGGTTTTCAAGGATCGTTAAAACAAAATGAGCCGATTATTTGCTCCTCCTTAATGGTTTACTCTAACATTGCTCAGTGTTGCAAATCAAGCGCACCTCCCACTACAGTGTTGCCAACTTTGCAGTATTGTCGCCATTTCTAACAACTTTCCAGACCACCTTAATGACTGTTTTTTTTTCTTAAAAGTGCCTAGCAATAAACCAAGCAACATTTCTGATAAATAACAGTTCATCTATATGACTTACAAGTTTCATTACACTACTGTACACACTACCCTGCAACACCACTTCGACTCCCAACTGGAGAAATTTGTCTCAAAACAAAAGTCCTGAAAACAACAATGTTTAAAAGCCGCAAGTAATGTTCAATAAATTTGTGATCTCAACGCTAATTGAAGATTGTTAAATAATCAAGACCTCAGTTTTAATTTCATCATGATAATTTTTGCCATAAGTGATCAGCCCTAATATCCTGTAATTTGTTGTAGCATCTGGATCTATCTGAACTTCTGTGAACGCCCTGTAGACCACCCTCCCTTCAAAATCAATGGAAGGGTCTGACAATGCTGAGCGAGGCGGCAGTGACCAGCCAGAGTCACAACGCAGGAGGCAGCTGGACCGCCTGGATAGAGAGGAAGCTTTCTACCAGTTTGTCAACAATCTCAGTGATGAGGACTATCGTCTTATGAGAGATAACAACCTTTTAGGCAATCCAGGTGAGAAACTGTTTAAATTAGAAACACACGTCGTGGACTTGTGGAATAATGTGTTTTATTTTTTTGCTTTCTTATTCCACACTTTTCTAAATTAATTGTCCCTCCAAATCTGCCATAAAAAATTAATTTGTTTTGTTTCTGAAGGCTACTTCTTTGCTCCATTCTATATGTAAATTAGGGATGCAACTGAATTTCGGCCACCAAAATTTTTGGCCCAAAAATGACCCTAAAGTGCATTTTTGGTTATCGAACGAAAGAAAAACAATCACCATAATTGGCCATCAGTTTTAAAGTCATCTTTCTCCACCCTCATGTGGCTATTTGTTCTTTTCTTCTTAAAAATAGTACATTCTGATTTCAACAGTAAAGTTTTCCCCTTTTAGTAATGCTGTTTTATTCCGATCGCTGTTCATATCAACCATGACGCACGTTTTCTTTTGGTTTCACATTTAGCGCATCTACCTGCTACATCAGTCAGTGTTAGCAGTGGTTTTAGCATCCTTTCTACACCCACCATGAGCTGAACATGGTGAAATGAGCTTGGGATTGTGTGTGTGATGCATGTTTATACTCATGAAGCACACAGACGCTTGTTGCTGCGAGCAGCAGCAACGTCACTTACTTACTCACTGAACGAGTGATAATCTGCATCAGAGGGTGAATATTACTCTTCAGAATCAGTCAGACATTAACAGACAAAGAGCTTTGTCAACAATGAACAGACCTGTCTGTATTGTAAATTTCTTTAATATATTATAATATTCACCCTCTGTGCACTCTGCTCGTCTCCTCCCTTCTCAGTCAGGAGCCTCCTGATGGGGGCATTTTTAAACTCTATAAAATCTAGAAATTTCAATACAAACACCCAAACGTGTTGCTCAGACTGAAGTCACAAATCTCTATCTTCTGGTGTAAAGTAATAACTTCATGATGGATTAAATTTGCTGCTGTGGCTCGTTAAATGCAAAATTGTGACTTTGGTGCCTAAAGGGTTAATTTTACAGTCCTCAGCGGATATTTTAGTTACAAGCCTGTGCATTTATAATGCATTTACAAGTTTTTATTATTTAATGTACACAATTGGGTTCAAGTGAAACATTTACCTATGAGTTACAATTTATATTGTGTATTGGTGTTATGTCAGTGCTACATGAAAATATATTGCAGTGCCTTGATTTTATTGAAGTTAGTTCACATCATAGCCAAAAATATGGTTCTAATTATTGACATAATCATTTATTTCGGTGTTTCAGTTTTCGGCCTTGGTTTCTCATTTTCAGTTTTCAATTTCTGTGCATCCCTAATATAAATGTTAGCTCCTTGGAAAGTTTTGTAAAGTTGTCACCTTGTTTCGTATCGACAGTTTCAGGGTATCCGCGGGTCCTTAAAAAGTCTTAAATTTGCTTTTCCAAATTTAAGGCCTTAAAAATCCTTAAAAATGACAAATAATCCTTAAATACAGTTTCCAAAGGTCTTAAATGTCCAAAGACCCAATAAACAAGATTCTTTTATTTCTATAAAATTTTCATAAATTTCTAGTTAGTGTTCAGCATTTTTTGTGTACGATGTTGGCGTAAGCGGAACCGTACACATTCAGTTGGTTGTGAAAGGGGGCCATTTTTAGATGAGCACATTAGCTGGTTAAGCTAGTGGGAGCTTGCACCATGGGGAAGTGCAAGTTTAATGGCAACTGGATGGCTAATCCCACGTTCGCGACGTTCCAGGCAATAGCTGGAAATTATATCTTAAATTTAATTTAAAAAAATTGCTCAAATTTGGTCAAAATGGCCTTAAAAAGGTCTTAAAAAGTTTTAAATTGGGCTCCTTTAAACCTGCAGATACCCTGAGTTTTGGGTGAAGACATTTGTTAAACATTTAGAAGATCGTAGTTTGCGGCTGCAACAAACCGTTAGATGACGAATGGAGCACCCCTGTAGTTAGGGTTGGGCATCGAGCCTCGAGTCCTAATCTATTTGGCTTCTCCTATGTGTGTTTTATTGGATAGTTTGCATGGGATTTCGTATATGACTCAACATAATAATAGCAACAATGTAATAATACAAAAAAAAACATGCCAACAAAACCACACACAACAGTTAGAAAAAGACTATTAGCGTTTCCCTTACACAGGTTGAGGCGTGGTGCTGCGCCACAGCTGAAGTTCCAGCGCCATACCTACGAGATCCCCCCCCCCCCCCCCCCCCGCCACACACACACACACAGATGCACGTAAGGGATGTGCTCCACGCGCAACACACAGAAGCGAGGAATCTGAATCATTAACATAATTAAAGCATTATTATACTGAAACACCACTGACATTTGATGTCTTTGGACTAGAAATGGATGTTCTCAGGATTTAGTTGTACAAACATGCTCTCCAAAACAAAACATTGCTAATACCTCATTTTATAAGTACAAATGGTAGATTTGTTTTTATCAGCACAGACCTTTGTCTGATGTTTATTAAAACAGGCTACGTTGGGTTGTTGCTTTTATTTTGTTTGCATTCCTGAGTATGCTAAAATGCAACTGCCTGTGGACTATCAAAAGACACTCAATCTGTTTCTGTCCCTGGAGAGTAGCAGGAGGAATGTAACTTTGGCGTGTCCACTTAGTGGAATCACCAAGGAGAGGGCATTGAATGGACAGTGTCGTGTCCTGGTAAGTGAGGTTTTTAGTGTTGTCTTTTAGGTGTGTTCATAGAAACGTTTAAAATTTAACGGCAGGTGTTTTATCCATTTCTCATCAATGTACTTGTAAATAGGGGGTCTCCCAGCCAGCTTTTTTTCTGAGCTAAATAAGCCTATTTATTTTGACCATAGGAAGCAAAGTCATAATTTCTCTTTGTCCTGCACTTTTTCAGATGGTTCCTTGAGAAGAGGGTGAATTATTGTACTAAATACAAGTCAGAGGATTGCTAAGACATTTGTTTCTTGTCTAATAAAGTGTTTTGTAATCCTCTCTTCCAGGAGAGGTGACAGAAGATGAGCTATTTAGTAGACTTCAACAAATCAAAGATGGTCCAGAGCAGCAGAATAACACCACAAGCACCGAAACTTCTGAAGAACCAGTTGGTAAGTCTATCATGAACGTTTTTAATGTTCTTTATGTGATTTGTTGTCATTTTAAATGTGAGTTGTTCACATTTATATTGTATTTTCAGAACAACCAGAATCCTCTGAAGATGCTCCTGGGGGGGATAGCCTCCTGGACTGGCTTAACACAGTGCGTCGCACAGGCAATACGACCAGGACTGGTCATCGTGGAAACCAGTCGTGGCGTGCCGTAAGCCAGACTAACCCTAATAGTGGTGATTTTCGCTTCAGCTTGGAGATTAGTGTGAATCGAAATCTGGCTGAACAGCAAGCAGCTGCTGAAGGAGAACAGGAGCCCCCACCGCAAGCTCCTGAAGTTCCAGAAATGGTTGCAAATCCTGAACCACAAACCCCCATGGAGACGGAGGTAGTGGAAGAACCAGTTGTAGAAGAACTGGCTGTCAGTGTAGAGCCAGAACCTGAACTAGAAGAAGCTGTTCCACAAGAAGTTGTTGGGGAGTCTCCCAGCCCACCTGCAGCCCCACCAGAACAAGCACCACCTTGTTCTTCTCCTCGTAGAGGACAAAGAAGAGCCCGCAGCCGTAGTCCAGAACCTCGCAGGACTAGGGCCCGTTTAGCCAGAAGCCGCTCCCCTTTCAATCTGGATCAACTTGATGGTCTACCTAATCCACGACATCCTTACATCTCTCAAAGCCCAAGTTCTTCCTCAAACACCCCCCCTGCACCTCAAGTGGAGGGCAGTTCTCGGACTCGACAGCACATCCTTACAAGGCAAAGCCCAGCTGATGCAGATGCTCAGCCACCTAGAGCCGATCCAGAAGCAATACCAGAGATCCAACAAGTTGGATCGCAGGAAGGAGAGTCTCCTGGGACTGAAGGAGGTGCACCAGGGCGTCGTCCCCCAACTATAATGCTCGATCTCCAGGTGCGCCGTGTGCGTCCAGGTGAATATCGGCAAAGGGACAGCATCGCCAACCGTACCCGTTCCCGCTCCCAGAATTCAAACAACACATATCTTTTTGAGAGTGAACGCGGTGGTTTTCGTAGGACCTTCTCACGCTCTGAGCGTGCTGGTGTAAGGACCTACGTCAGCACAATTCGAATCCCTATTCGAAGAATCTCAGATGCCGGTTTGGGAGAAGCAACCTCAATGGCTCTTCAGTCTATGATCAGGCAAATCATGACAGGCTTTGGTGAGCTAGGCTACCTTATGGATTCAGACTCGGATTCTTCCGATTCAAACCGCGGAACTGGCACACCCGCAGACTTGGAAACCCTCAACAATACAGAAGCAAACAACTTAGACACTTCTGGTTCTGCTGATGTTGAAGAACATCAACAACAACCACCGGTGGCACCTGGGGTTAGAGGACGGACAGTGGAGGCAGATGTGGATGAGGGCCTTGCCACCGGGCCACAGGGTTCAGGTAACAGGGCTCGACCTAGACCACCCATTAGCCTAGAGGAGCCCAGCTCGCTGCCCTTCCTTCGACTTGCTCATTTCTTCCTCCTAAATGATGATGATGATGACCAACCTCAGGGGCTGACTAAAGAACAGATTGACAACCTCTCCATGCGTAACTTTGGTGAGAGTGACGCCCTGAAGACCTGTAGTGTCTGTATAACAGAGTATTCCGAAGGGAACAAACTACGTAAGCTCCCTTGCTCTCACGAGTACCACGTCCACTGCATAGACCGCTGGCTTTCTGAAAACTCCACATGCCCCATCTGCCGCCGGGCTGTTCTGGTATCAGCCAACCGAGAGAGTGTGATATAACTCTAAAGAAATGGCAAGTTTTTTGTTCTAAGTCATATACTTTGAACGTGTCTCCATTCAAATTAATTTCCATCTTACCATTGATGAGTTTGATCATGTTTTAGTTTGGGGTCCTCCACTTTTCGACATCGAGAGATCTGTCTCCAATTAGACATCGACTGTTGGTGTCAAGGACTGGTACAAAGCAACGCATGCTGTTGATCAAAGTGTAGCGACCACGCGGTGTTGCATCACGTCAATCAGACCTAAACCCTTTGATTGTAAATGCTGCACACTTCCAAGCAGTCTTGATATTTAATTTTGTTTTTTTCTTCCCTAAATAGCACCTGATGTACCTTAAGTTGGATATAGACACATTTTTCAGTGACACCAGTTCAAAACATTAGCTGTAAATAAGCTTGTACAAATAATTTTGATTCATACTTTGTATCAGTGCATTGGTTTTGGATTGTAAGTTATCTCACATGAAGATCTTGGTCATTTTTGCTGCATTGACTTAAAGCAGATAGAAAAGTTGTGTAGAGATTGTGATGTTCAAAGGATGTTGCACATTATTTTGCAATTTGGTGTGTAATCAGAGCGTTTCTATTTTTCCTAAACTCACCTGACTGAACTGTCCCACTTATAAAAGTGCCACGTACCGTTCAATTTCAGCTGTGCGCCAAATTCTTGTGAGAAAAACAAAAGTGTTGTACTGGCATACGCTAAACAAATTTGCATCCTGTAGTCGTTATTTTAAACACCAGTGATGCAAAAAGAACATGTGAGTGTAAATATTGGTTATAAATGTTGGGTTGCTATAAGGTTTTGGTTGTTCTAACCTAAAGCTATTATTTTATTAGGAAGTTAGAACTTGAAATAAAGTTGATTTTCCATCTAATCACATTTTCTCTGATGTACAGTAATATCTCTGTCTTTTGTCTAATCTAACCAGCAATTTTCTAAGTAGTTGTTGGCCTGATTTGCAAAATAACAATTTGACTTAAAACACTTAATTCTAAATGTAAAATTGACAGATCCTTCTCCATTTTATTAATTCTTATTAATAAAGTAATTATTAATTTATCAATGCCTTATTCAGGCAGTAGTCAAGAGAACAATGACTTCATCCTTAAAACATCAGTAAAAAGTCAAAACATGAACTGAACTGCTTTATGAGCACAGACTGGTGTGCTGTGTGTGCAAAATGAAAACCATGATATAAATGTGTACCATTGTTTAAAATGTTTATGGTGAAAATCGTAAATGAAGACTTATTACCCTTTACAGTATGTCTTGGATTTTTTTTAAGGAGTTATGAAGGTTTTAGATGTTATTAAAGAACAGGAACACTGGCGGAAGGAGGAAAAGGGCATCCCGATTAATGCCATCCTGTCATTTTGTTTCACTGATTAATATGTCTTAGCCACAGTTACTTCCTCTTTGTAGGACATAAACATTTGAATGCAAGACAATGTTGAATTACCGTGAAACATGTAAATGAATTCTGTGTTTTCTCTGGGGTCGAGCTTTGCTCTGGCCTCGTTCTGTGATCCACCCAGTGCAGGATGTTAGCTGGGTGTTTAATGAAACTAACCGCTGAATTAAACAAGTTGTTATGCTATGAAGTAACGCATCACAGATATGATTTCTGCATACTACTTCTGATATTTTCTTTATGATGGTGCATGTGGATTCCTGCATAATGTCTCATCAATGTTATTTTTTTAATTGGAACATCTCTTAAAATTTTCAAGGTGTGGAAAAATGAGCTCCTGTCATGTTTCTATAATCAGCCTAAATGGTAATATAAAGAGCCTTCCAGTAGCCTCAAAGGCACCAAGGCCAAACTCGCCAAGTTAAAAGACCTCAATGAAGGCAAAAACATACTTCCTCAAGGACTGAACTCCCCTAAAGATGTAAAGTAGACATATTTGTAAAATTCTGAACTTAAGTGTCATTCTACATCAACAGCCTTTTGGGAGAGACAAAATTCCACCCTTGTACAAATGCAAGTATGGTCCCCAAAAAAATCCATCAGAGGGCTGCAAATGGCCCTTGGGCCACACTTTAGATATGCCATGCCTATTGAAAGGTTTTCATTTAATATCAGATGTTCCATTTTCCTATTTTATTTATAAAATAGTTCACACAAGTTTAATCCCCAGAGACCCACGGTTGTAATATTACAACATCAGATTTAAGTCTACAAAAATAAACCTTCCCCATTTTTTAAACCACATTTACATTGCTAATAGGTCCTATTGTTCAGTTCTGCAACACTATTGGCTGTTAAAATGTGTAAATAGGCCCATTTATCTGGCCTCTTAGAACAACATGTGAAAGGTTAAAAAATATTTTGCAGTTGTTTTCTAAATTTGGGTTTCTGGGGGTTAATGGATGTCAGTAATGCAGATAATTTTTTATTTTTGGTTCATGTAAATTCAGATTGAGATCCATAAAAGTGTCAATTTAAAGGGAGACTAGGCAGTTTTGGCTTGCTTTTAGCACCCTCTAGTGTTCGTTTGGTTTTGGTTTCAGTTCTACAATCACAGCTGAGAGTTCATATCGACATTTATACTGGACAAATTATGTCTATTGGCATCGCCTCTGTCACTGCGCACCAGGGCAGCTGTGGCTACATCGTAGCTCATCACCATCTGTGTGAATGTGTGTGTGAATGGATGAATGATACACTGTAGTGTAAAGCGCTTTGGAGTCCTTACTCTGAGAGGCGCTATACAAGTGCGGGTCATTTATCATTTGAAATTTAAGTTTTTGATTTAAAATGGGAGGTTTCCCACCATCACAGGGCTGGGTGCAGCAGTAGAGCGAGTTGCCTCATGATCGGAGGGTCATAGGCTTGATTCCAGCTCCCGCCAGAGGTATTCTGCTGTTGTGTCCTTGGGCAAGACACTTCACCCAACTTGCTTGTGTTGGTGGTGGTCAGAGGGGCCGACGGCACCAAATGGCAGCCTCGCCTAACACCTGTTGAGAGAAGGAGAAGCTGAGCATGCCTCACTGGGCTTTCTCTGCAAGGATGATGCAGCAGATTTGCGGATCTCTGATCGCAGGACAGCCGCTGTTAAAGGGCACGTTACCGGAACTGCAAACCTTTCTGCAGCGGCAACTTCGCAAATCTTTAACCGCAGTGGACCGCTAAGCCTTAAGAGTTTCAGTAACCACTCAGTCAGCCAGCCCCACCATCACGTTACACTTCAACCCATCTTTAAGCACACAACTACAGTTCAGAGAGTGAAAATGGCCAAATATCTTTTAACGTGAGGCTGGGTCCTTTCCCCACCCCAAAGTTAGCTCCTATAGTGCTAGTGGCTCTGGGGTTCATTATTTTTCCAGAATTTTAAGCTTTTAATTCCACTAAAACAGAAGAGTTACAAAAAAAAAATTCACCCCGCTCAGAGAAGTCATGAATGTAAACTAGATCTATTAAACCTAGAATGTTTTTTTAACCTTGCTGTAAACATGTTTATTTCTGCTCTGAAATTGGCTTTTTAACATTGGTGTCGATGAGGATTTGATCACTTCTAGTGGCAGCCTCTAGCGCAGTGGGCCGCAAATGGTGGCCCCCAATCCCGCGCGCACCCCCCACCCCTGACGGCCGACTGGGTGGTTTAGGATAGAGCTGAGGAAAATAATCAATGCATGAGATGCGGGCATAAACGGTTTTGCATCATAGAAGAGTACCATAATCAATTAGTTGTGTTATTTTAACGGCAGCACCAGCGTAGCATCCAAATCTGTCAGAGCGGTGTTCTCCACATTTACCGGGTAGGAAACTTTGATTTGCCTTTATGTGGTACTGCAGGCCTGAGCACTGGAGTTAAAACCTGAGACCGAACCGAATCAGCCCGATCGGTTCTGTTGGATTTGGGCCGTAAATTATGTTAATTGAGCGGGTTGTTGCGAGGCACTCGCTCGATCAGCGACAGACAGAGAGAGGGGGAGATTTTCTGCTCACACAAGAGAGAGGATCGGAGGACGCTCCTCCAAACACGCATTATTATTTTCATAATTTCATTATTGTTTCTCCTGGAAGCACTCAGACCAAATGCTGTGATGTCGGGAGGTCCGGTCTTGGGGAGGGAGCGGTGTCAGTGACGGCGGCTGCAGCGTAACCTGTCTCTTATTTAGGGACACAGAGAAGTTAAAAGGAGAGCGAAATAGAAGATAGAAGTTCTTGTTCCACTTAATTATTTTCTTTCATGATGATAAACTGATGTTAAATTCAGCTTAAATAGATACTGGGAGGAATTAGCTTTGTTTCATTTTAAGTTACAGGACGTCTTGTTTCATATCTGCTCCTCCAGAGACAGCGCATGGACATGAGGGTTACATGGTGAGGGTCCCACAGGGCAGGTTAGTGCAGTCACACAGCCAAGCTGGAGGGGGACTGGTGTTGTTCTGCTTTATATTGCAAGCTTGTGTGTTATGTGCATTACAGCCAGTGATCCAAACAGCAGCCCCCCCCCCCCCCCCCCCCCCCCCTTGCTTCTGGGTCTTTTCGTGTGTGGCCCTCGGACCATTATAATTGAGGACCCCTGCCCTAGCGGATGAGGGGAACGGAAATGTTTGCCACTGCCGTGTTGGTTTAATACATTTCTCAGGATTGTGAGGGCCTGGTTAATGTCTCCTATGCTTCTGTCTACAGGAGTGCTTCATCACTAAATTAAACAAATCAGCAGTGTTCATGATGTAAAACATACAGGAAATGTGCTGGAGCCAGACTGCAGCGACTTTTTTCCCCAAGTCTAACTGGACGGCAACGGTGAAGCTTCAAATGGAATATTCTGGCCACAGGGGTCGATAGTGTCTGGGTGGCATAAGGGTCCTTTTAACACATGATCAAGAAATCAAGAAAAAATTAAATATGAAGAAGTTGCAAAGTATCCCTTTTAGCATTAAGTCTAACTTTATTTATTCCTAATAAAAAAAAGTCATTTGTAACAAATATTGAACTTTAATTGGATTTAAACTTGCTAAAACGCGGCACTGTAGCAACGTTGGGTTTCGTTCAGTAATAAATCAGAAAGGGACGTTTCGGTGTGACCCTGAATGCACCACAGCACAGCCTTTTAACAACGATGGCGCTGCGGGCTTCCTGGAGTCTTCTGTCGCATTTTCAGCGAACCCGTTTCAAGGTAAATGAAATAATTAGCTCTTTGCTTAACCAATATGCATATTTTCAGCATTATTTTCACTAACGTTGGTGATTAAGTTACTTAAATGTTGAACCTGTACGTGTACTTCCGTGTACAAAACTATCCAAAACGTCTAAAATCTAGCAAAAAACAAACAACACATTTCATGTTCTTTGCGTTGAAATGAAACCACCGCGAACTGCTGTATTTTAGTTTAGAAGGCTCGGGTTTATAGTTCCGTCACTAATTTACACATGTAGTTCCGTAGATTTATTTAAGTGGCGCTGTTTTCACACAATAATACTCATCTACATTGAAGGCATCACAAGAAAGGATTTGAAATGTGTTTTTAATCCTCTGCAGGTCATCCCTGTTCAAACCAAACTAGTCATCAGATGTAAAACAGCCTGTCCAGTTGAGGTGAGCCATCTGGACCATTTGGTTCTGACGGTGAAAAGTGTTCCAGACACAATCAACTTTTATACCTCCATCCTTGGCATGGAGGTTGTCACTTTTAAGGTAAGTGTTGTTGTTTTTTAAGCTCGTTATACACAAATGTTGAGAGGTAAGCCTAACCCCATTTATTAAACTCTTGATCATGTGTAATGGAATAAATTGTCCATTATCATAAAATACCACCACTAGATGGTAGACTTCGATAGCAGATGAGCTGAAATACACCTTGGGCTCCAGTGATTCACATGTCCCAATATATTTGCTCTTATTTTACAGGGAAACCGTAAAGCTCTCGGTTTTGGACACCAGAAGTTTAACCTCCACCAGCTGGGTCAAGAGTTTGAACCAAAGGCCAAACTTCCAACTCCTGGTTCTGCAGATCTTTGTCTCATCACTAAGACCCCCCTGGCTGCAGTAGCTGCACATCTGAAGGTGCTAATCATAGGAAAAATGCACCAAATCAGAGATTTAAGCATTAAAAAGACTCTGCTCTTGGATAACACTTTCTTCTAGAGCTCATTTATGTCGTTTTTCTGCAGGTTTGTGGAGTTGATATTGAAGAAGGTCCAGTGGAAAGGACCGGTGCCGTGGGGTCCATCACCTCACTTTACTTTAGAGATCCCGACCACAACCTGATTGAAGTGTCCAACTACAGCCAGCCAGCAGCAGAGGGCTCCTCCTGAAACTTGTTTCTGAGTGTAAAATACACAGCTGGACTGACTCCTCTGGTACACATTACAAGTGTTTTCACTGAAAAATGCTTAAACCAAAATGAATAATTAAAATCATGTACTGTTGACTGAGGCTGATTACATCAGCTGGAGTTGTTTCTGTTTCTGGTTTAGAAGTTTACTCATAACTGACATTTTCCAGAAATAGGTTTAGTTTTAGTGGCTCCTGAAGCATTAAGGAATCAGAAAGTCAGCCCAGGGAATGTAATGAACTGCTTAATGGCTAAGGGTGTTTTTATGTCTGTCCAATGAGTTTTTATTTCTTTAAATCCATTTTATATATTCATATAAAATTAAAGTTTATTAAACTCATTTTGGTTCTGAAAAAATTATCATAGAAGAACTACAGCTAAGTAAACACCATAAACACATCCATATACGTTTGTACACAGTGAGAAAAAATATTGTTCTCCAGGATCATAGGTGCACATATATTGTAGCAAAGAAACGGTATCATTAGTGTGCTTATATTTAAAAAAAATTGAGAACTAAAAAACAGGACAAATAACAGTAAACGGCACTAGTCAGTGGACCACAAAGACCAAAAACACCATAGAGGCTTGATGCAGTTAAAGAAGCCAATCCGTGCTATTTTTAGTTTTTGAGAACAAAGGTGGGCACAATATATGATTAAAATGACCAATGGCACTATTAAGATCTCATTCATTTTAAATGAGTTCTTTTCATCAGCCTGATTTTATACCCAGAACTGAAATGGTTTGTTTTATTGAAGCTCTGCTCAGGTCCGCCATGACAACATTAGTTGTTATGCTGTGGTGGTTTAGTGGCTAAAGCAACTTCCTTTCCTCTTGTTTTGCCATGTGCTGACACCGGTTCAACTCCTTGTGTCAGTAATTTACTTAGCCAGCTGAAGCAGATTTCATTTTTTAAATATTTTAGTTTCATTTATTACTTTCTGCAAAATAATTTGCGTCTCTTAAAACCTTTGAATTTGGTCATTTTCCAAGCAGCATTTTAGTTGATATAATCTGCTCACCTCACATGGACTCACACTGGCTAAATAAAGTAGAAAAAAAAAAAAGATTAGTCCTTTTATTTTGAACAGTCCCCCCCCCCCCCCCCCAAAAAAAAAAACAATACTGGCAAGTGTAGCTGAAAAAAGTAAAGAAAAAGTTACTGCCAAACCTGGAGGCAAAAAAGTTTACCTCTCACCACTGGGCTACAAAGTCCGTTACTAATCATTAGTCACCAGAGGTGGGGACTCGATTCATTATTTTAATAACTTCTGACTTGACTTGACTTGATAAAATCTTTAAAGACTTACGACTTGCCTTGGACTTGAACGCCAATGACTTGCGACTTGAATCAACTTCCATCTGTTGACTTGATGACTTGAGCATGTTTGATATTTTAGCATAAATTGGCACGACACGGACAAACTTCACAACTCATTCTTCGTTCTGGGTGTGATGTTGTACTGCAGCAGCACTTTGTTTATAATCTATTTCGGTTGCATTTTCTGCTTCCTGGAGCAAATAAATGAAGCTTTAAGAAGCTTTATTTCTGGAATTCATTATCATTGTCATTAAATTGAAGTTTGACAGATGACTTGATTATGACTTGAAAATTCAAAGTTATTGACTTGAACTTGACTTGGACTTCCCCATCATTGACTTTGGACTCAACTTGCACTTGGTTGTCTTTGACTTGGACTTGACTCGAGACTTGACTGGAAAGACTTGTGACTTGCAAAGCAGTGACTTGGTCACACCTCTGTTAGTCACCAATACACATATCCTGTGTAAGTAAGTAGTAGTAAGTAAATTTAATTTATATAGCACTTATCACAGACATAGAATCACAAAGTGTTTCACATAGATCAAAACGAAAAAATAAAATAACAAAACAAAAGTTATTAAACCATGAATAGATTAACATCATAAAATCAAAATGCCCTCAAAACAATCAGGTTAACATCAGAAAAAATAATGTCATAAAATTATAAAATTTCATAAACAGATGAAAGATTAAAATTTTTTGTTAAAAATAAGAAAATAAAAGGTTTAGGTAAAAGCAGCTTTAAATAAATGGGTCTTTAGCTGTTTTTTAAAAGTGTCCAGACTGTCAACGCTGCGTAAGGATAAAAGAAGATCATTCCAGAGTCGGGGTGCAATAGTCTGGAAGGCACTTTTGTATCTGGTCTTTGGAACTTCTAGAAGGTTCTGGTGTGTGGACCTGAGGGCTCAGATTGGAGCATGAAGCTTTAACAGTTCTGTAATATAGGGAGAAGCTTGACCATGTAGAGCACTGAAAGTTATAATCAGGATTCTAACATGAACTCTAAAGTTAATGGGTAACCAGTGGAGAGACATTAACATAGGAGTGCTGTTTGCTCTTCTGTTTGCTCCAGTTAGGAACCTTGCTGCAGAGCTCTGGACCAACTGAAGGCAGTCAAGGGCTTTTTTTGTTAAAACATGTGAAGAGTGTGTTACAGTAATCTAGATGGGAGGAGATAAAGGCATGGATAACCATTTCAAGTTCATGTTTTGACACCAACCTTCGCAGTTTGGAGATATTTCTTAAATGATAAAACAGTTTCGGACCAACGCTTTTGAGTGACCTTGAAGAGACATTGATTGGTCAAAAATAACACCCAAATTCCTTAAGTTTGTCTTGACAGCAGAGGATAAATGACCAAGTTTTAGACTAATCAGGGGAACCATGCTCTCAGGGGCAATAATCAGACATTCAGTCTTTTCTGAGTTTAACTGAAGGAAGCTATCTTCTAGCCAACTGGTGATAGGTGATAGACACTAGTAATTCAGACAGTTTATAGAACTCAGAATCCTTAAAGGAGCAGTACAGCTGAATATCATCTGCATATAGGTGATAAGAGACATTATGAAAATAATCAAGTATCTGTCCAAGAGGGTGTATGTACAGCAGGAACAACAGTGGACCCAAAACAGATCCTTGGGGTACCCCACATAACAGATCAGTAGAATCTGACACAATTTGGTTTATACAGACCCTGAAACTTCTGTTAGAAAGGTACGATCTACACCAGTCTAGAACAGTTCCAGAGATCCCTACCGAGTCACCAAGTCTGTTAATTAAGGTGCTGTGATCAACAATGTCAAAAGCTGCAGAAAGATCGAACAATACTAACACTGTGAAATCCCCGTTGTCTGCAGCCATCTTGATGTCACTGGAAACTTTAAGTAGGAAGTAGATGGGGGTGAACAACGTGCCCTGATATTTCTGATTTTATCCTCAAAGAATGCTAGAAAGTTGTTACAGTCAGACATTGAGTAAACTGGCATAAGAGGGGTGTGAGGTGAAACAATCTGGTTTATGGTGTCAAACAGGACTTTAGAGTTATTTTTGTTTACAGCAATCAGCTGAGCAAAGTAAGTGGCCCTAGAAATTTTCACGTCTCATTCAGGGATATTATCAGTGTGGCCATTACAGGATGCATGGCTTTTATGGTGGTGCTTTGTCCCCAATACAGAAGTAATTTTTCATAACATCCACTCTGGTACCCGTGCACGGTTAAAGCAGTCATCAGTGACATGAAGGTCACATTCTCAATTGCAGCATGCTCTATGCATGCTGCTCTGAGAAAGTGGGCATCTTACTCCAGGGGAGGCGGGTTCCTGACTAGCTTCAGGGGGAGGAGCAATGCCTGATTAGACACATAGACCACTTTGTCCTGTCTGCAGGCTTTGAAAAATCTGCAAAAAAATTGAAGGCTGGAAAATGCATGAATGCTGCCAAAAAAGTTTTTTTTTGGTATTTCTCATGAGGAAATGGCACCATGTGGAAAAATGCTCAAAAGTCAATTATTCACGATACGGAATCTTTAAAGTTTGAAGTCTTTACCCAGATATTTGAATGTGCGGGATAATTTCCTAAAATGCTTAAAAATGCCTCAGGTGTTGCATGTTTTTTTCCTTGCTGCTGCATGTTAGCAAATTAACACATTGTGAGTGTGTGGCTGCATAAAAACAACATGGCAATGCCTGCAAATAACATTTCTTTTAAACTGAGGTGCTAACTTTTGACTGGGCACAGAGTTACATTTAGTGTTGTTTAAGAAGGTGAATAAAAGCAAACGAACAAACTGAAAACAGCATTTGTTTCTCTTTCTGTGACCCATGTTTGGCCCTCTAAATACTAGTGAGAAGAGAGACAGATTTTTGAAGCCAAGTCAGTTGGGCTTTCAATATAATTTCAAGGATTTTTGCTTTTCCTAATATTGTAGCTGGAGCTATTTTCCGGCCGCCGTCAAATTAAAAATCTCAGAGCTGCAGTTTTAGCTCGCGGGAGACACCGCAACCCCACACTCACTGATGGTAAACAGTAGTTACATCCCTCCTTCCTTTGCTTTGAAAGGAGAAAAACTGACCATCCCAACAGCCAGCTGGATATGACATATGTTTCAGTATAACCTTCCTTCTGAAGTCACTGAAATGTGAGACTTTTTTCTCACTATATTCTTACATACTGCACCTGGAAGGCGCTATATAAATAAAGCTTTGATTGATTGAGATAGATAGATAGATAGATAGATAGATAGATAGATAGATAGATAGATAGATAGATAGATAGATAGATAGATAGATAGATAGATAGATAGATAGATGATAGATGGATGGATAGATAGATAGATAGATAGATAGATAGATAGATAGATAGATAGATGGATGGATAGATAGATGGATGGATAGATAGATAGATAGATAGATAGATAGATAGATAGATAGATAGATAGATAGATAGATAGATAGATAGATAGATAGATGATAGATAGATAGATAGATAGAAAAAAAGAGATTAATGCAGCCCAAATAGGGAACAAGCCAGTGTCCCATTTGTGCTGGACCCCAAATCAGAACTATTCCTTTAAATTATATTCCAATAATGACAATTGAGTATTTATACTTAATCATCTAAAGTGTGATGGTATTCTTTCCCTGACTAGTTGTTTTAAGATTTTAGTCAAGGACTATATTAAATCTTAAAATAGGTTAAAAAATGTTTGTTTAAAATTTTACTGAGGAGTCATTATGCAGTTTTGCTTTTGACAAATTGAATCTAAGATTGT